AATAAATTAAAAATGTTTAATGTAAAATGTTTCAAATTAAAAAAATGTAAAAATAAATTTGATTAAATACAAATGAAAATATAGCATTTTTAAACTTTTGCAACCAGAAGCTGCTCTTCGTATTAGTGACAAACAATAACATTGCAAATTAAAATATAGTTGTATCTGCAACTGTATTTGATAATGTTTTGAAGTTTTAAAATATTGCATGGTGAAATCAGAAGCTGCTCTTCATATCAGTGACAAACTTTGGTGTTTTTTGACGAGTTACTAACATTTTTGCTTCTACTTTTTATTTAAAATAAGTTTCCATTCTCAGCAGGTTTCGAAGGTTCTTCTTCTACATATTAAAAAAGTTGTTAAATATCTGAGTGGTGCACTACTGCTACTAGTGGTGAGAAAGTGTATTGCACCTAATTCGAAATCAAAGCGGTCCCACGGCCCTCTGCGGCCCAAACTTAAAAACTATTGTTCTTTTGAGGCCCTCAAGGTGGCGCTCGCGGTCCACAATTGAGTCGCGGCCCATAGGTTGAGAATCTCTGAATTAGAGTCTTTGACATCTGTTTATAAGGTCTACGCATCAAGGCAAATCGCTATTCGTCATTTGACCAAACAGAATAAATAAATAACACTGTAATATCATTATGACTTACAGTTTTTATTAATTTAGCAATAATATGAATATAAATATAATAAAACTTTTATTTACAGTGAAATATATTGCATTAAAAATATGTTGTAACCACCCCCAAACAGTGTTTCAACTGTCCCCAGTACCGGGGTCAATTGCAACATCTGACTTTTCACTTTCAAATGCAAATTGTGAAGAATGTACATGCTTTAATAATCTATAAGTGGTTTTGACTACTAACAGACAGATGTAAGTTTATTGTATTAAAGTTTGGTTTGTCTAATGCAAACCATCTCTGAGTAACAGAGTCAAATACAAAAGGTGTTGCAACTGTCCCCGGTCTACCCTAATCATGCAGCAATAAAAATGAGAACATCACAAAGTAAATCAAAGTGACCAAAAAAATTCAAAATAAATACAAGCTAGACCACTTTAAATCAGGTTATATCGTTTTTAAAATGCCTTTATTTGAAAAAACAAACAAAATGCATTAATAGATAAATAATTAGGCTCTCTCTTATAAATATTGTAAAAGTCAGTAAAACTGTAGCTCATTAGCAGAAATRTGACTTTTAACTCTTTTTATCTTTATGTAACCATTTGTAGTTTCATCTCTTCTATTTGCTTTAATTCATATTAATGCAACACTTTGATTTCATCAGTGACCCATTTTTAAATGAGCTTATTAAACTTTTATTTTATCATACCCTTATCTTTCTTTTTCATCTTTAATGGTTTTTTTTTCCTCCTCCTCAACRTGACAATTGGGACGTCTTCCCACGTTCCGTTGTAAAATAAATGGCACAATTTTTGTCGGTTAAAGAAACGAGCACCATGTGCTATAAATGCCTTTCAGAATAAATCTTGGCGAGGAGCGAAATAGCCTTTATAGTTTTATTACCGCCCCTGCACACAGTGGGTGAAGAAGCACGGCAGAGACTCAGAGGAGAGGGGAATAATGAACGCGAGGCTGCCGGTTCGATGAGAGCAGATGATGAATGACTGTGGGGAGGGAAGTACAGGACCGGAGCACGAGCACGGTCGTTTGTTACTCCGCTGTCACAAATGTATTTTTAATGAATCTGCACCTCTGACTCCTCTGCAGAGCACGACTGTTCCTTAAGGCCAATGTGACCCCAATATTTCCTCTGAACAAACCCACTTCAGCTCCGGCTGCACAATGTAAATAACCTTCTTCTTCTGTTTGCTGAGGCCATCAGTCTGTCTCCTCATTATTATCCGTACCTGAGCCCAGAATAGAGGCCACCCTTGTTTCTGTGCTGTGGGCATGTTTCACCTTGAATTACTGCTATGTGCCGAGTTGTGGGTTTTGAGTCGGAATATGAAAGGGGAGAAAAAAAAATCAAACATTTTTATTCCCCAAATCTATCGGTTAATTTATTTAAAATTTTGAAATTTTCGAACAAACCAAGGCTGCTCTTCCAGATGACCCTGCCTTTGCTGCAGAAAGTAAATCCCTTCATGCATYACCTGCTGTAGAGGGGATATGTTGTGCATGTAAAAGAGACAAAGAGGGAGAAATGAAGAGTACGGGCTAGTTTGCTGCCGCTCTCTAACAGGGCAAAATGCTGCAAAGATGGCCGAAGAACGGGAAAAGATATTGCACAATTTACATTTCAGGACAAAATCTGGACATGATACACAGATAAAGCTGATTTCAGACAACACTGATGCCGGTCTCACTCAGGCACAGTTACAGCCTAACCTGGTGAATAAAGTAACATTCCTTCGGACCTGCGATGCTTTTTTGTGATTTTCTCCTACAATCTGAAAAGGATGAGTAACACAAAAACACTCTGCTCTCTGTAATTCATTGTAATTGTTAGTTTAGAAGAAACTTAGGTAAAATAAATAAATAAATAAAAATTTACTCCGGAGCCTCTAGCGCCGGCTCTGAGCGTCGGATCCGGGTGGGAGACGGCTCATTTTAATGTTCTGGATCTCCGCTACAACTTGAAGTGGTTGCAAGTTCCTGGGACGTTCCCATGTGGAGATATAAGCGATCAAAAGTCGTTGGGCGAGCTCCGGCAGGTGAAACGGCTGATTTCCAGCACAGGACTGCTTGTGCTGATGCAGGGGAATAAAAGGAACAGATCCAGTGAGGTGGAACCGTGGTCCTACGTCCAGCACCCGCTCTCCCGCCTGGATTCAGCCAGAAACCCCTGGCAGGCATTATTTCTGCAAAAATGCATAAAATTTAGAAGCCCACCTGATGGATCACTTCCAGACAATAACAGGAACAGATTTGGTCAGGTGAAACCGGTCCTGGAAGCTCAGCACCAGGTTTTATAACAACCTGCCCTCTGAACCACTGGTGGGCGATATTTCAGCAAAAATGCATAAAATTCAGAAACCCACCTGATGGATCTGTTCCAGGCAATAAAAGGAACAGATTTGGTCAGGTGAAACCAGTCCTGGAAGCTCAGCACTGGGTTTTATAGCCGCCTGCGATAAAGTTTTATATTGTGTGCTTTGACTTKGAAAAAAAAGKGGCGGCTTGATGTGGTAGCCATGTTGACCCTGATAGATTTTTGTTTTGTTTTTCCTCCGCTGTATGGAGAGAAGAGAGGAGAGTTCTTTGAATAAATGGAGACGAGTTCCCGTGCTCCAAAGTAAAAAAAAAAGGAAGAAACTTCCTTGTGTGATTTTACAGAACCTTGTATCTCTCAGAAACCACCTGATGTATCGACACGTAGAACCAATTTGCTACAAATTTTACACCTGTAAAGACTTCAGCATAAAAATGCGATAAAGTGAGTGGTGAGTTCTTAAAGGCACAGTGTGTAGGATTTTGTCAATTCTTTTGGCCGAAATTGAGATAATCACTAATGACAATAATAAAAAAAACATGTCTAATCATTGCAGACAAAGACCTTGTTTTATTATTTTTTCCTTATAAAAAGCTGTTTATATCTCCATGGTCGCGGGTCGCCACTACAGGCAGCCGCCATCTTGTCTACGAAGGCTCATGAAGGACAAATTGCGGTGGCGGCGTCAAAAATGGTTTTAGTTGTAATACTATAAATGTAATATTTGTTGTCTGTCATTGTAGCTGGGATAATTTTACTTATTAAAGCTCATAATCTTACCRCTTGAAACATCACTAGCCCTGAAGCTGCTGGTAGACATCRCGGTTGGAATTATCAAAGGTTTTTGACACCTGAGAGACACCGTAGCAACTCTTTTGCATTTGGAAGCCGGGGTGGGGGTGGGGGGAGGACCAGGGAGGATGATTCAACCACTCAACCACTAGATGTCGCTGAAAACAACAAATCCTACACACTGTACCTTTAAATGCAGAAATGTAGTTTATCCGCAGTGAACAGAAAAGATGTTTAAACTGATACAAAGTTTTTCAGTCTTAAAATCTCAAACATTGACCTGAGATATGGCCATGCYGCTCTGGTTTCTCTRCTTAAGTTTCTTCAGCCGTCTCCATTGCTGGCTTCTGTTTGAAATGAAGGTGAAGCTCAGCTTGCCACCGTTAACTAGGATGATGTAATTCCAAATCTATTTTAGACGTGAGTTCTGACTGTGATTGGTTTCCCATGTGAGGAACATAACGTGTGGCCAAATGCATTTCAAGAACGAAAAACAGCAAAGGATCACAAAACTATGGTGAACCAAAAGYAACAAGTAACTAACAAGCTTTTAAAAAAGGTTGTGGAGTCAAAAGTGCAATATTTGTCTTTGAAATGTGGTGGAGTGATAGTCGTAAGTTCCCAAAAAAATAATTACTCAAGTAAAGTTACTCAAAAAATGTACTTAAGTACAGTACTCAAGTGAATGTACTCCATTACTGTCCACCACTGGAGTTCACAACAAAATGTATTTATTGGCTAAAAAAGTCAATTTTTCATGATATGTCCTCCTTGAGGTGAGTTCATCATTATTCACACACACTGGCAATCCCTTATTCTTATTTTTGGGCATGTGGAAATAAAAAGTGCAGGTAAAGCAGTAACGGCAGGTAACAGACAGTGATGCTTGAGCTGACACATCTGACAGGTGACCTCTGACGACAACGCAAACGACACAACCATCATTGCATTTTCTGTCTTCCACGCGTGCTGTCAAACTGGTTCAACAACCGTCTGAAGAACCGGATTCAGGCTGTCAYGGCCCAAACCCCGCTCTCAGTATAATTATCTCAACAGCTAAAATATAAACATGTTAATGATCGGATACTGTAGTTTTARCATGAAGGATGTCTCCCAGTTTTAAATAACACTAAAGCAACACAGGAGCGTGTCAGCGTCCTGCTCTGACAGCTGGGAGTATCCGGCCGTCGTGTTCATCCAGTTAGAGTCAATCCAGGAGCTCACCTCAGAYGCTGCTGACAGCTCCCTGCTGCTCAGAAAATGYCATGTTCTGCACTATTTGCAGGCAGCAGAGAAAAAACACACCATCCTGGGCTTGTTACGGCTGGTTTAAGGCGTGTTGTTCCACTGAACCRGGATGGCGGGGTTCAGGAATCAAACGGCACAGTGTTTATGATGGAATGTCACTGGTGCTGGACCCCTCCGAGGGGCCCCTCTGCCTGCCCGCTCAGCTGCTCTTGACAGAAATCTCCACTGCTTCCAGCATCAGCGGTCGGCTGTTCTTGCTTTTGTCTTGGTCTGTGATACAACTTTGTTCGCTGTCAACAACAACAACAACACACAAAAACAAACAAAAAGAATAAAACATTCACTTCTTGTCCAAACKTGGAATCAATTCTAATCCTAAAACTTTAAGATTTTGACCTTAAACTTGGCTAAAATCTTATTTTTGTCCTATTTCTGTTTTTGTTTTTTTTTTCTGTCAGACCAAAAAATAAATTTACCGGTTTTCAACAATGATATACGAGAGAAGATTAGGGCCACTGGGAAAAACAAATCTGACTTTAATCTCAGAATTCTGACAGAATTTTGACTTTTATCTCAGAATTTTGATAGTAAAGTCAGAATTCAGGCTTTTCCCTTTCTTTCAAAATCCTGAGATTAAAGTCAAAATTCTGTGTTTGGTCAGAATTGTGATTTAAATTTTGAGAAAAATGTCAGAATTATGAGATTAAAGTCAAAATTCTTTTTTTTTTGTTCCCAGTGGGCCTAATCTTCTTCCGTAGATATAAACTGTTTTAAATTAAGCAGCAATCAATAAATGTTAATGCTTGAAAAGGCACAAATTGACTTCTAACATAAATATAAACCAAAATACTCTTATTCTAAGGTCAAACATAAAGAAATATTTACAAATTGGTGATTTTTTTCCCTTCTTTCATGCTCTGAAGCTGCTTGTTTTTGACAAAAAAAAGAGCTGAGAAGAAGAAAAAAACGAGCACCTGTCCTGGCTCTCCTTCAGGGCCATGGAGCTGTCTTCATAGATTTTCAGCATTGTTTCAGTTCGGTCATCAAGGTGCTCCTTAGGCTCCTGAAGCCTGAATAATCAGACAAACGTGAACATAAAACATAATTACTGCAAACAAATGTTCTGAAGGATTATTGCCGAGACAGGTCGACAATGTGACAATCGTGAGGCCTCCACACCTGGGCTCCAGCCTCTCCTTGACTTTGGCGATGGACAGGATGTAGGGGCTGATCTGTCTGGCGATGGTGGTCAGGTAAGAGTTCTCCTGCTTCAGCTGCATCAGGTCATGAAGTTGGGCTGCAGTCAGTGAACAAAGGAACTATTAAATTAGAAAAGGGGACAGATTGTGTTATAAGAATTAAAGACAAACCTTCATAAATCTCCTGCTCGTTAGTAACCCTCTGAAAAGTCTCCTCCCAGATCTGTAAACAAAAACACTCATTTAGAGCTGACAAAACATTTCATGTGCTCCAGAAAATGTTAACAGATTTCAGTCAGTGTGAATATTTCCACAACATGAAGCTCTTTGAATCACCTCTTCAAAGATGACCCTCATGGTTTCCACAGTGGAGTACTGAGCAGCTATCTGGTTATCGATGTGCAGCGACCGCTCCAGGATCTCGCCCATCTTGTCCGTGTTGATGATGGAGTGGTGTTTGGTCAGATCTCTGTGCAGCTCCTGGACCTGGTCTTTCAGATTCTGGATCTCTGTCTGCAGATTCTGTGGGGGAGACAGAAACGTGACGTTTCCGAGGCACGTATTTGTGTGAGAGCTTTGTTTCCATCAAGTTAAAAATGAGCTGCTGGAGGAATTGAAGCTTCTGCTTTTACGGGCTCTCTAACTAAAAGCAGAAAGGGGACATTTTCCTGACAGTTTTCTTGTTAGTAAGTCTAACATCCATCTATTTTCTTTACCCCTCTTCTCCTGTCTGGGTCATGGGGAACTGTTAGGAGGAAACCACTTTAAACAGGAAAAAACTCAAGAAAATCTAATGTCTGTTTTTGTAAATGTAAGAAGTTAAACCGAAAATCAGGGCAAATATAAAATTCTATTTAATACAGGAAATCACTTTATGACATATGATATATGTGTAGGGGTCACCTCGAGTGAAGAAACA